TCAATGCCGTCCAAGCTCTCCTCAAGGGGGTAAATTAGGGTAAATTTTAAAAAAAAGCAGAGAAAGAAGAAAATAAAAGGAAAAGCAGAAGGAGCGGATGAGCTCCTGGGCTCAGGAGCCTGAATGCTGTGTTGTTATTCAGAATTTGTTCCACACACAGGATCCTGGACAATGCAATGTCAGGCGATGGACCACGTTTGCAAATGAGCATTTTCAAAATTGCACACATGAATATGATTTAATTCATGTTACCATCTCGCTTTGGTATCCTCGAACGATTGGAGAAGCTGACAAAGAGATTTGAACAATGACAGCTGATTGAAGAGAAATGAAAAGCTCCATTTTGCTTTATTAAGTTATTATCCCTTACTACCGCAGAATGGGTTACCACCACCAGAGTCACTAATGGGTGGGAGACTGAGAACACAGCTTCTACCTGTGATCTGTCATACACATTAAAACCTAATATTACAGAGAAGGACCATAAGAAAGTAAAGCTGCAAGAAGAAAAGCAAAGGGGCAACCTAGTACAAAATTTCAACAACAGAAAATGAACATGAGAATAACCAGAGCTGATGTCTGAGAGAGAGTATGGGTAAGAGACCAACAGAAGGAAGTTATAATTAATGAAAACTACACCACATGCAAGATCATATATGTTGACAGAAACCATGGCATCAAAAAGAGGAACCAAATGCATTAATACCAATAAACATGAAACAAACAGAAACTTGTACTTGCTACTCAGAAAAAGAAGAAAGCAGTACAATCACCCTGGAGGAAAGCACTCACCAACTGAAAGAAAACACATCCCAGGACGAGGTAAGAAGCAGATCAAGGAGACTGGACAAAGCACTAGAGAGTAACCCTGCAAAGTCTGAGGCTGTGAGGGGAAATGTATAAAATGTAAATGCGATAACAAAGATCTGGGGAAGATGTAGAATAATGGTGTTAACATAAGAAGCATACATAATGATGATATAACAAGGATGTCAGAGTTGCATGAGTACATAGAAAGATCTGGAAGGGAGAATGTTTGTAAAGTTCTGGCTACGAATAAACACCATATAAAGCAAGAAGTCACATGGCATAGTTTGGGAACCGAACAGTTCTAAACCTAGAATGCACAACAAAACAGAGATCTTATTAAAACACATGACTCTATAATAACATAACTCACCTCTTGACTCCCCAGAGCCTGTCCCACCATCTACAAGGCACAAGTCAGGAGTGTGATGGAATACTCCCCATTTGCCTGGATGGGGGCAGCCCCAAAAGAAACTTGACACCATCTAGGACAAAGCAGTCCGCTCGATCAGCACCACATCCACAGGCATCCGCTCCCACCACTAATGCAGCAGTGTGTACCAGTTACAAGATGCACTGCAGATATTCACCAAGACTCCTCAGACAGTACCTTTCAAACTCGCGACCAGTACCATCTGAATGGATAAGGGAGCAGATAGATGCGAACACCACCCCCTGCAAGTTCCCCTCCATCCTGACTTGGAAATATTCCTTCACTGGTTCTGGGTCAAAATCCTGGAATTCTCTCCCGAACAGCATTGTAGATCAATCTACAGCACATGGGCTGCAGCGGTTCAAGAAGGCGGCTCACCTCCACTGTTTCAAGGTCAACTAGGGGCAGGCAATAAATGCTGGGCCAGGTAGCAACACCTGTGTCCCACGAGCAACTAAAATATATTAAGATCCTGAGGGGACTTGATAGGTCGCATACTGGGAGAATGTTTCTTCTTGTGGCAGAGTCTGGAGCGAAGGAACACAGTTCAGGAATAAGAGGACTCCCTGTAAAACAGAAGCAAGGAGAAATGATTCCATTCAGAGAATTATTTTACGTAGAATGATTTTCTCCAGAAATGAGTGGAAGCTGGGTCATTAAAGCTGAGTTGGATAGAATTTTTATAGACCAGGGCTTGAAGGATTATGGCGAGCCCATTTTCTCTTTATGGAGGGTTGGCACCCAATTTGATTTGATTTACTATTGTCACGTGTACTGAGATACTGAGTGAAAAGTATTGTTTTGTGTGCTAATCAGACAAATCATACCTTACATTACATCAAGGTAACAGAACAGAATGCAGAATATAGTGTTACAGCTACAGAGAAGGTGCAGAGGAAGATCAACTCTAATATAGACATAAGTCCATTCATAAGTGTGATACAGCCGGGAAGAAGCATTTCTTAAGTCTGTTAGTACATGTTTTCAAACTTTTGTACCTTCTGCCCAACGGAACAGGGTGGAAGAGAGAATAACCGGGGTAGGAGGGGTCCTTGATTACTTTGGCTGCTTTCCCAAGGCAGTGGGAAGTATAGACAGAGTCAATGGATGGAAGGCTGGTTTGCTTGGTGGACTGGGCTGTGTTCACAACTCTCTATAATTTTGTGCGGTCTCGGGAAAAACAGTTGCCGTACTGAGCTGTGATGTATCCGGATAGGATGCTTTCTATGATGCAACTATAAAAATTGTGGACATGCTGAATTTCCTTAGCTTTCTGGGTTTTGGTGTGTTTTCTTGACTGTAGTGTCAACATTGATGGACCATTGTTGGTGATATTTACGCCCAGGAACTTGAAGCTGTTGACCGCCTCTACCTCAGCGCCACTGATACAGACAGAGGTGTGCCCTCCACTCTGCCTTCTGACCAGCTTCTTCGTTTTGCTGACATTGTGGGAGAGACTGTTGTCTTACACCATGCCAGTAAACATGCTCTCTCTTTCCTGTACTCTGTCTCATCGTTGTTTGAGATTTGAACCACTACAGTGGTGTCTTCCGCAAATTTGTAAATGGAGTTGGAGCTGAATTTGCTCA